TTTTAATGGATATATGTGAATTATTATGTGAAGTTACCCATAAAGTAACTTTTCAAATCAGTTAGTCACTTCAGTAGTTTTATTCTGTTCTCAAAAAATAACTGTTCTTGCAGTCATTTACATGTATTTTAAAAATCATTTGAGATATTAGTAGCAAATTTAAAGAAATTTGAGTTGCCTGAATTTGAAAGTGTATTTGAGTTTTCTAAGTAAAGGGAAGTTAAAACTTTTCTGACCATTTCTAGACTGTCTGTGTAACCTTAACATTGTGTTTTTTCTTTCATGCTTCTATCATTTGTTGACTTATATTGTCCTTTATTTAGTTTGCAAGTTATGTTGGAGCTAGGAACATCTCTTTTGATCTATGATGTCTCTAGCATACTTCTGGGCACAATTATAATCATAAGAATCTTTGAAACCTTTCCATGTAGTGTCTTCGCTGTCACTAAAGTTGAGATGTTCTATAATGGCACAACTAAAAAAAGTAAACCATTTTTTTTTTTAGCCTTTAAACACTTAGAAAATGATAAAACCAACTAAACCCAAATGCAGTTTACATCTTTGTAGCATACAAAAATATCTGTTTCATTGCAATATCTTAAATTCTCCCTTAATCTCTCAAACCCCTATGAATAAAGCATTGGATTACCAAGTAAAACCCTTCATCACAAGGAATTAGGCACTTCAGCTTTGGCCTCCATCTAAACCATTGCATTAGAATAAGCATTACTGACGTCATGTTTTCCAAGTTGCAGTCGACTCACATCACATGGTGCCTTCCCTCAACCATTAAGATCTTGCTGGGATAAAATTTATGTCTCATGACTCTCTTAATTCTCTCTTTTTGGGTGGCTTTGAGGCACTAGCATGCATATGGTATGTAGCTAAGAAATAACAGTAGGAAACTTAGTTCCTGTTCGTGTGCATGCCAGTGAGTCCGTAACAGAACTTGGCAAATTGTATGATTTCCTTTGTCTATATGATTAATAAAATAGGATAATATTTTACTTACAGAAGAGTGGTTTTAATTAGGGCCTTGATGTGTCAATTTTTTCTTTCTGTAATATGCAAAAACATAAAGGATATCCAGCTCATGATTCCCTCTTCCCTTTTCTTGAGCTATCATATTAAAACTTGCTGTGGTACCACAGTTTTCGTACTTGTGTCATTAGTTGTGACAATTCTATTACAATTCATAGAATAAAGTGGATAGAATGCATCTCTGTAGTCCTGACTTCAGCTGGCATCTCGTCAAAAACTGTCCAGCAAATTCCTGAGTTTCAAAGGTACTATTCCTATTTAAGGCAGAGGAAGCGTAGAAGTTGCCACTACGGCCTTGAACCATCATTCAGTCCTCAGTGTTCACAAAGAATTACATTCTTGCTACATGTTTTTAAAACAGACCCTACTTTGAACCAATTTGCTTTATGACAGTTGTTGTGTAATCTTATCTCGTGAAAGGATTTCTGATTGCATTCATTTTTCTTCCTTTTTTACTAATACAGTAGCGTGTTGGATATGCAGGGAGCATGAATTCCTTCGATTTAGTATGTCCCCATCATCTGGATAATTGCTTTTGTGAAGCTACTTCAGTTGAGCATTTTATGGTTTGCTTGACAGCAGTTTATCTTGTAGGTTATTGATGCTGCAGCCCATAACAGAACCAGCATTATTTATGTTGGATTGATTATTTTGCTGTAGTTCCTCACATCATCAAGCAAACATTGACTACTGTATTTACAGAACTGTCACTTGATGTCACATTTTGCTAGAAGTTGCAACACCCTGTCATCATATACTTAAGAAATACTTATCTCTAGAAGACCTAAATAGATGAATTATTATGGATCCGTTATAGTTCTGCATTTTTTTCTAGTATGTTATTTTAAAGTAGTAAAACTCAAATTGATCTTCCTGTCTGCAACACAAGTGCAGCTTTCACCAGAAAGGTGGTTAGCGTGAAAGTTGGCATACAAAGTTTGCAGTCTGTTCTTGCTTCACAAACCCAAACCACAGTGTTCTGTTCACCCATGCCACTGCTGGCACCCAGGAACTGTTCTGATCAATTATGTAAATAGAGAGGGCTTTTATAAAGCATTTTAAGCACCCAGCAGAACAGAATAACTTCTTTACAGTTTTTTCTTTTCTAATGATAATTACATAATTGGACAGGTTTTAAGTTGTTGGGTTTTTTTTCTTCTGATATGTAGATGCTGAAATCTCTTTTGAGCATTCCTACTAAAAAGTCATAAAAATCATTCAGAAAAACAAATCTGCTAGGCTTCCCTCTATCAGCATCCCCAAATGCCTTTGGCAATGAGTAAATGCCAAGCATTTGTTATTTGGCAGTTGACAAGTCACTCATTTCTTTAAACTCAAACATGTTGCATAAGGTTGTGAAAGTTATGCTAAGCTAATAATTAAAAAAAACAAAAAATCCACCCTCCCTTGATCCAGACTTTCTGATTTCCATCTAAATATTAACATCAGGGCAAAAATACACAGGACCTTATATCCCATTAAATGGAATTGCCTGCCTCGTGTTGGCAGAGGGTGCAGTGGGCTCTGAGCAGTTACAGGAGTGTTATCCTTACACTTGAAGGCTTGGTGTAGGTGGCTGCAGTAACACAGCTTGGTGGTTGGGTTTTGGCCATCTTTTCCTGATATCAGTACATGCATGACATTGCTGTCTTGGAAGATGCTACATCAGATCTCTGAGATACAGCTTTCCTTGCATGCCCAGGACACATGCAAGTTAGAAGCAGCTTTCTGTTGCGGAACTGCCATCCCTTCTGATGCATCTGTTTTACTGACTTTCTTTCTCTGTAGTATTTGATACTAACTATTTGGTTTTGCTTTTGAAGGTCCTCATAATCTTGTCTTCACCCAACCTGATTTTTCTCATTCTGTTTTAGAATTTGATTCCTATCGCCAGTCAGGTTTTGTTATAAGCCCATGTCACCACCTTACTAGATTTTTCAGGCTAACGCTTGCCCAGAGGTTGCTTTTCCCTACTGGGAAGAAATATCTGCAAAACTATCTTATCCTTGTTTGTTCCTGTGTTAAAATTCTTCTTTGCCATGGTGCCTACCAAAAATGGATGGCTGCAAATCTGATGTGCTGTGACTACTCTGTCTTGATGATCAGGAATCTACACTGAGGGAAGAATTTTCATATTGTTAATAAGCAACAAATGGGTGTGGTAAAAAGAGAGCTGCTTGTATTCTAAATACATTGCCATGTATTCTAATGCCTTCCCTACTGCTTCTGACCTGTACAGTATTCACTGTATCTCAGTCTGGTATTGCATGTGTACAACCACTAGAAATATGCTGACAGTAGAACACAAATCAGTTGCAAGGGCTGTGTTTGAAGAAGCAGAAGTCTCAAAGGTGAGAAGAAAACTGAAAAATTACATTTTTCTTCTGGTTCTCAGGTGCATTGCTCTGTAAAAGGTATTTCTCTCACATGCCCCATGTAATTGTTTTATTTACTGTTAGATAGAAACAGAAATGCCCTTCTGTGTCTGGGTGCCCTGCAGAATGTTTTAAAGTACTATCAAACTACTATTCCCTTAGGTTTGTCTCCTTGAGGGCCCCAAACTTTAACTGACCTTGTGCCAATAAATATTCACATGTAATTTTAATCTCTCCAAGGTGTCAAAACTAAAGATAGTTTTTGAAGCATGATCCAGTGTACTTTTGCTTATTTGGTGAATGGTTAATCATGGCAATTGCTAAATACCTCAGGTCAGGATTTCCCAAATGTTAAGACAACTTTTGAAAGACATCATCTGTCTTCAGAGGAAAGATATGAAACTGTTTTTCTAGTTTGATATATTCAATCAATATTGTTTCCTTCAAAGATGAAAAATGGAATTTAAAACCAATAATGCTAATTATGACTAATTTATATTTTGCTTAAGTATATGTAAGAAACCTATAATAGGAGATCATAGGGTGAGGTGTCCCTGCCCATGGCAGGGAGGCTGGAACCAGATGATCTTAAGGTCCTTTCCAACCCAAACCATTCTATGATTCTATGATCGTATCAGGAGGTTTTGTGGGCTGTAGCTGAATGAAATTGGGACTGCAGCTTTAAATAGATAACGAGTATTAAATATCTAAATATTAATGCAAGTAGTTTGACTTACTGTTTTTAATAAACTGAAAAATAAAAAATTGAAACCATAGTCAACCATATGAAGAGTATTTTAAGTGATATAAATCAGCGTGTTTTATTTTAAAGTGCAGCAAAGCAAATAATATTTTATAGCAAACAAATGGGGTTTGCTCATAAACCTTTTGGCAATTCAAGCAAATCTAACTTCAGTGATAGAATACAAGATACAGCAGTATTTTAGAGCAGCCTAGAGATAACTGCTAACCACCTTTTGCAAGGTTCTGAAAACACTTAATATAAATAAATATTAGTGGGAATGGATTATAAAATAAACTCTAAATTATATTTCTTGATGTAAGGCCTAAAATTCATGATAGAAATGTGTTTCATGACATCACTAGTGATGGGCATTAATCGTCAATGTACTGATTTCATTTGCAGAAATACCAGTCCGCTGTTGTTGGACTTGCCCTAGATCCCTAGTCCAATCAAAACCATCAAATTAAACCAAAAATAGAGCAAGACTGATGAGAAGAAATCTTTAAACTTTCAATAACTGTTACGTATGTTTTGTCTCTCTTTTTCTTACAGATTTCCTTTTTGCCTCCAGAGTGTTCTGTTATGGCAGCCTCCAGTGAACAATGACATCCTCTGACAAATCTAGATGCCAAAAAGCCAGACAGAAACAGTGGCCTTGTTTCATTTTTACTTCAACACAGTGAAATGGTGCTCTTAAAGTTTTGTTACTGACTCTTACTGGAAAAAAACAAACTCCTGTCTGGACCTTTTCCCCCCAGCCTTCCCCCAGTGTTCTTATGGATGCTTGACCTAGTGACATCATGTAGTAGGCCCTGAAGTGTTGTCACAATTAAGTTGCAATGGTTTTATACACTTCCCCATTTCCCAACAGCTTTCTGTCAGTTCTGCATTCTTTTTCGTGGGGCCTGATTTTCCCATGTTACTGGTTAGCAGATAGGCTTGTAGCCTCTTTTGTTCCAACCACCTATGAAAAACGTCAAAGAGCAGATGATCCATGCTATTTTCATGCTCTCTGCATCATTATTACCACTCCCATCTACTTGGCACTGTTAGTAGCCTCTCTTCCTTTTGCTCTGATTGGCTTCTTGCTGTGGTCCCCACTCCAGTCAGCCAGAAGGCCATACATCTACTCCAGACTAGAAGACAAGAACCATGCCAACGGAGCCACACTGCTCACTGAATGGAAGGCTGCAGGGAGTGGGAAGAGCTTCTGCTTTGGCAGCGCTAATGTTTGCCTGCTGCCAGATTCTCTGGCAAGATTTAATAATGTTTTCAATACACAGGCGAGGGCTAAAGAGATTGGCCGGAGGATCCGAAATGGGGCAAGCAGACCACAGATCAAAATATACATAGATTCTCCTACCAACACCTCCATCAGTGCAGCAAGTTTTAGCAGCTTGGTCTCCCCACAGGGTGGAGATAGCACTAATCATACTGTTAATCCTGGCATGAAAAGGACAACATCAATGGAGTATAAAGGAGACAATTCTGGCTCAAACAATGGTGAGGATAGTAGAGAAGATAAGGGTAGAACCAGAGAGCCAAATGAGGGAGAAGAAAACTCTTGCATTGTCCGCATAAACGGAGAGGATAATGGCCACATGTCAGATACAGAAACAGATGCCGTCAATGGCCAGGCTCATGCCAGCGGCCCAGCAGAGCCCTCACTGGAAGGTGATGCAGAGATCTCAAAAACACCTAACCACAAACAGAAGGAAGGTGATTCTGGGAGTTTAGACAGCTGCTCTGCCTCACGAGAGTCCTTAGTTAAAGTTCGTGTTGGGGATGGTACAGTGGACCAAAGCACTGTCAACAACAAGCTCCTCTATAAAGCTTCAATCATGAAGAAGACTTCAGTGCGGAAAAAGAAACATACAGATGAGACCTTTGATCATGAGATCTCTGCCTTCTTCCCTGCCAACTTGGACTTTCTGTGTTTGCAGGAAGTGTTTGACAAAAGAGCTGCAGAGAAATTGAAAGAGCAGCTTCATCACTATTTTGAATACATTGTCTATGATGTTGGCATCTACAGCTGCCACAGCTGCTGTAGCTTTAAGTTTGTGAACAGTGGTCTACTTTTTGCCAGCCGCTATCCTGTTATGGATGCTGCCTATCACTGTTACCCCAACGGAAGAGGAACGGACTCCTTGGCTTCCAAGGGAGCCTTGTTTCTCAAGGTAAGAGCCTTTCCAAAGCCATAAATACTGACTCTGTTTATAGGACAAGTTATAAAGTTATGTTGTTTTCTCTTCTCTCAGTCATTTCTATTAGAGTTCAAAGAAGCACTATTCAGATCTAGATTACCTGATAAAATTTATATAATAGGTTTTGTGGCCTAGATACTGTGCATGAAATAACAAGGGACCTTCTGGAGGTAGAACTTGAGTATCATTTCAAGTGTCAAAATTTTGAAGTAGTTTTCACGTAAGTTTAGTTTCTTTTCTACAGAAACCTCTTTAATAAAATGCACAGATTCTAGGCCTTATAACCCCAGTATAGAACAATGAGTATTATTACTGTTGGAAACCAGTTTATGCATGTTATGTGTTTATGTGGGAACCAAAAGACAATTGAAAGTCTAAATGCCAACTGGATAAAACTGAAAGAATTGCAATGAAATGTATGGCTATCCCTGTCTCTTGTTTGTGAAAGAATTGTTAAGGAGAGATACAAAGAAGAGTGAGTGAGAAAAAAAAAATTACAATCTCCTAGAATACTGGATTTTGTGATTTTTATCACAGTTTGGAATGGGTTTTACTAACTAAAACCTGAATTTTTTTTTTTCTACTGCTAGCAAAATACACCAGGTGTTCACATTGTGAGTACTTTCTGGTGTATATGCTGATGAGTTCTCAACAAAAGCCATCAAGAGCCATTGAGAATATGGATTGTTAATAAGGACCAATGGGGTCTGTACCCACATTGTTTGTAATATGTAAAGAAGGCAAAACCTGTTGGTATTGTGACTTGCATAAAGAAAGCAAATATTAGAATCAGCAGTCTGATGATAGTTCAGCATTTCATTTACATTTGACATAAACAAAGGCATATCCGTATCTGAATACAGCTTTCCAAAAATTGGGTCTAAGCTTTCTATACTGTACTTTTACGTGTTGTTTATAAACATCTGAAGTTTGGTTTTTTTCATCATAAAGTCTGATGCAAAAATCTGAATATACATGTTGTGCACTCTAAACATTACCAGGGTCACATGGACTGCCCTTCAACATATGCATTTATTAGGGATTAAGAGATTAAAAACAATCTGCTTTCAGCTGCCCGTTGCTGAGTCACTGTTTTGCTCCCCTGCCAGGCAGACCGCAGTGTTTCCATTTCTCTTGTAGAAAATTAAGCCTCTTTTCAAAATTCCACTGGGATGATGAACTTAATTATGGATTCGAGTTGTTAAATAATGTTACTGTTGAGCAGGGAATAGGGACCAATTATTATGAAGATTCAAAGACTACTATGTTCCTTTAAATATGACAGAATTCTGGCCCTGCTGAAAGTCCATTTTTCCTCACGTCTGTGTCATTCTGGCATTCTGTACTTTATACCTAAAATATTATTCTGAGTTAAGTCTGTTCTGATATGAAATGACTTTCTGTCTTAATTGTACAGTAAGTGATCGTTGGTCATTTCTTTCACACACACACACACAAAGCAGGAATTACCTATTAAATTTTAGTTTTGAAACAAGGTAGGTTTGAAGGCTTTCTTGATGTAGTGCTTAATGAACAGCTGAAGCTGTGTGGACTCTGGAGACAAATGCTACAGTAAGTAAAAGCCAGGTCTGTTTTTTCAAGTTGGTGACAAGCAATCCATTAACTTCGGAAGTCTCCAGGTATCACACTGGGATAATAGCGAGCCAGCAAAGCATATCCTAACTGTGGCTGAAGGTGGTGTTCTAGCCACTCCTCTGCCCTTCCAAATGGGCAGCTTCTATCACTGCTTTTAGACACTTCTTTAGATTTTTGTATGTATCTCATGCAATCCAGTCCTGTATCTGTGTTCATCTCAGTGTGGTTTCAAAGACAGTAAGAGAGCCTTCTAGAGCAGGAGTCTCCTAATTGCTTTTCATTCAGAAGTGGTGTAGTTAGGGCTCTGTCCTGTGCAAACTCTGTGTGGAAAGCACGGTGTTCCCTTCCCTGAAGCAGCAAAGACGTAAGTTTGAGCTTTGTTTTGGAAGTGTGCTTACGAAGCTGCTCCCCTTGTACAGGTTTCATCTTTGTGTAAAGGAGCAATTGCTCTCTATGTTGTTTAAAAAAATAAGAGTGAGGGGAGGTGACTTGCATATTTTGAAAATACGGATAAAATCATTTAATGTTTCCACTCATTGGAAGGATGAAGCCTGTATTCAAATCTTTCTGAACCTCGCGAAAGACCCAACATCCAGACTCAGAAGAATATTCATACAAAGAAACTGGCACTTATTAAAAAGGACAGTTTGTCTCCTTACTACAAATATAACTGATAAGAAGATCAATTGAAGGTCTCGGAACAAAACATTTAATGGAAGTTGCCTTGTTTTGAACAAAAAGGCAAAACTGTTTGAGGGAGTTGTGTCACAGAACAGATCCGTACTGCCAAGGTACAATGGTTTCACACATTTCCTTTCAGAATAGGTTCAGATTCCCATGAAGAGGAAATTATTTTTCCATTGCCCCCCTCTTCCCTGCCCTGCCTTCACCATCTAGATTGTAAAGTTCAGGTGGAGATTTGGAAGGATTTGAGAGATTTGCTTAGTCATACAGAGTTATTCTACCCAAGAGACTTCCAGAGCTCAAGGGTTATGATTAGTAGCTGTCATAATAATCAGCTCTTATGTACTGCTTTTCTTAAGAAGGACATGGAGCTGTTGGAGCAAGTCCAGAGGAGGCCACGAGGATGATCAGGGGCAGGAGCACCTCCCATATGAAGACAGGCTGAGAATACAGGGCTGTTCAGCCTGGAGAAGAGAAGTTACGTGGAGACCTCAGAGCAGCCTTCCAGTATCTGAAGGGGGCCTACCAGGATGCTGGAGAGGGACTCTTCATCAAAGACTGTAGCAATAGGACATGGGGTGATGGGTTTAAACTGGAACAGGGGAAGTTTAGGTTAGATATAAGGAAGAAGTTGTGAGTAACTATTGTGTAAAGACCATTTTCTGCATAACTGGAGGACTAAGCTACATTCAGCACTTTGATCTCTTCAGACTCCAGCAATGTTTCTGTTGCCAATCTGAGAGTCTAATTCAGATTTAGAGGGACACAATCACATTAAAAATAGCTTCTAAGAAGGGGGGAAATGTCACTTGCACCTCAGTGACAGTTTCATGTTTGAAGTGTTAAACCACTGTTACCAGTTGCTGCGGAACACTCGGAGGAGGAGTTAGCAGATGCTTAAATCAGCCAATCCATTTTCTTACTTTGACAGCCCAGGCCTTTGGGAGGCTCTGGTGTGACTCTGTTCTAGCTTTGCATGTCATGTTAATTTAAAATGCCTACAAAAAGAGCCCTTGACTCTGCTTTGTAGATTTTATAATTCTAGTTGTCTCTTACTGCTATTCTGCTACAGTGAGAGAGGAGAGAAATGGGACTGACACATACTGTCCTGTGCTGGTGACGCCAACTAAAAAGTTGGCTTGTATGTGTCTGTACATTACGTGATGCAGATTGCAGCGTTCTTGGTTATTCTGCACCTGTTGGTTTGACACACTCATGATTTTAATACACAGTGGTTTGATGAATTTAAAGCGAGTTTTAAAATACAAGTCCCCATCAGAAACTGGGTGATGACTGTGCAGTCAAATCTAGTTTACAAGGTATCAGTGAGTGCTGAGCAAAAAGTGTGTAATGCACCACTTGTTTGTAATTTACTAAAGGTTTCAAAATGTCAACATTCATCTCTAGATTGAAGGATTGTATGTAGCCTTAGTCATGCTGTCTTTCAGGGATGCTGTGTAAGGTCTGGGCAGTAGTGCAATAAAACCAGAAAAATCCTCAATTTGTGAGACTCCTTAAATGAAGAGTTTGTCAGTATTTTTCCAGATGTATCAATCTAATAAAAAATCGATACATCTAATGATACTTTAAAGATTCATCTGGCCAGGGTGCTGGGACATCTAGTCTGGGCAAAGTCATACTTTGTGCAGAAAGGTTGCAGCAGATGATCCTTGAGGTCCCTTCCAACCTGGGATTCTGTGATTCTATGAGTAAAAACTGTCGCTTGTGCTGACAAATTCTGCCTCTCTCTGTCCTTTAAGTGTAATAGCTGTAACATAAACCTGTGCCATATGACATGTAAATGCATCCTTGGGGTGGGAAGCCCAAAATGGCTGTTAATTTAGGAAAGGTTTTGGAATGAGACCAGGGGATATGGAAGTATATTGCACAGAAGGCTTTTTCCTGTCACTCTTAGTAGGAAATTATTCTGGGTTTTGGCATCTGCCAAGAATTTTAGCAAAAATAAGAATTCTTGCTTAAAACAGAATTATGTGAACATAGACCAAACCCATAGTCTGATGGGGTCGTTGGAACAGCTAGTAGTATTCTAACAAAATCAAAAGGAAAGAATGTCTTGTGGGTTTTGCTAAATTTCAGAAAGAACTTGTGTTTAATTGATACTAATTCTTAAGCTTATTAACAGATTTACTTTTCAAATTCTCTGAAAATTAATGCTCTTCTCAGGGAGCACAGTAATTGTGCAGAGAACATGCTATTATTCACTGCTTAAAGGAAACCTAGCAACCTTTGCTTTATGTGCAAAGCTCAACTTTGTTTTCAAAAAGAGCTGGTCTGGTGGTAGCAGGTGGGAGAAGGAGCAGGAGCTCTGACTGGAAAGCTGCTGTGAAGCATAGGTTTTACTGTTTGCTGCTCTTGAGGTGCCTGCTTTGAAAGATAATGTGAGAGTTCCCTGAACCAACCTCTGTGATTCTCCTTTTTGATGCTACTGATCAGATGCAGGTTGCTTGGGCAGTTAAGCTGCCTTTACTGTCCCCTGCCAGCTTGTGTGTGTTATGGCTGTGAGTGAAGGGCCAGCTTCAGCTCCACAGATACAGAGGGGAAGCTATTTTACCTGAGGATTACAAAGAAATGGGGAATGTCTGTTTTCTGACCTCAGTATAAGACCATCCAGCAATTCCAGTGGTTAGATTTTTCTTGTCCTTGGTAAGTTATCCAGAATCTACAGTTACCCA